TTTTTCAAATAATATACGTAATAACGCACAACTATTAACAGGAAGCCCAATATTGCGGAATATTTCATGTAAACAAGAGTACCAAATTATGTAATTTATACGAAATGCAGAATATACTGTAAAATAAGTGATTAGCTTCGTTCCAGCAAAAGGTTGCGTTGCTAAATGTGCTACAGAGGGGTCATTTGTTAGAAAATTTAATGTCCCTGTAGGGATGATGGGTGCAAGTGTCACATCACATACAGTAACTAAACCAAGCGGATAGCTTGGGTCTAGAACCTTTCGCCGTCGTTTTACATGACCGTATTTTCGTATCAAATTTATTTAGTGTAATAATTCTGTTTACCTTTTGTGTACTTAATAAAGGTTCCTTTTAATATATATATAGCTATATCATATAGTATGAGATATAAAGAAATTACACATAGTTGGAAAATTATGTCAGTCTGATATAATAGAAGTTTCGTCGAAATTTTAATCGGCTAGTTCAGACAAATCACTCACACAAGCAGGGAATTTATATTTTTATGAAATTTGAATGGGAAACGGAATTACTTTGAAATTTTGTCAGCACCTTACTCTTAAAATGAATATGTCATGTGTAACGGTGTATTTCCATAAAACTGTACATTAATATATTACTTTATATAAAATGTTTATTAAATTAACTTGATATAATACGGCAAGATATCGTTACGGATTCTGTATTTAGCTATTATTATTAGAATTTGTCATTAAAATTGTTTTATATTCCCGTACAATGCAGCAAGGGAATATTTGAAGAGAAAGCTAGCCGGAAAAATTAAAATACAGGAGCTCGTGCATTTAACATTTTAATAAATAGATATCTCGTAATTGTACACTTTTGCTTTCCAGAAAAATCGAGAAAATACCAGAATGTTGTCGTGCAGGATTGCAAAGCTTATAAAAGCCGGATCAAAACATCTCAATCCAGTCGTTCATTAGTTGTTTCCTTAGTGCTGTTACTGACTGTAGCGAATTCGCGATGAGATCGGATTAGCTTTCTCAAGTGTTTTGAATTGAGTTCTATTCGAATTGAGTTCAGTAGTTATATTTTAAACTACGTTTTAGTAGTTTCAAAATATGACTGAGATATTGCGATATTGTACGATTATCACTGAGGAAATTTCAGCCTTTTGTTTTATTTGTTGTGATAAGAAGAAATTTTATTCACTTTTCATCGGAATTGTGCATTCAATTCATTAAGAACCCGTAGATATGCAACAATGAAATATAGTCATGTAAAGAAGAATATGTCTGGACGGCGAATAGTCCCATTCCCGATAGCTTTGCATAGTGTCATAGGGTCGCACTTAGAAGCGATGCAACACCAGGGTGCCTGGGTCAAGGCTCCTACCCCTTGTGGAACATGTAGGTTGTTTCGAACGCTGTCATCAGTAACATAAGATATAATTTTTTTTTATAAATTATGATCATATTTTTCAGTAATGGGATAATAAGATATTCTAGCAGAAATAAAGTGTGCCTCGAGTTCCAATAAATACCTGAGAGCTGAGAGAGAGGAAAAGAGTTGGCTTTACCCCGAGTCTAGAAATACATATAGTTCATACAATACAGATAGCGTAAGTCAAAGTACAGTGCAGGTAAAGGAAGTCGAGTTAAACAATATGAGTACTAAAGTATGGCCACAGGCTGTTTACAATTATTTGTGTCATTTTCATCATGTCGTGGACCCTTATAACAGGGTTGTTGATACTTGCGAGGTTAGCATAAAAATTTCGGGCAAGCCGGAAATAAAAATACTTCAGTTCTTTAATGAAGTTTTTTATTTCGAACGTACCAGGCTTAGTTGGCGATCTGTCTTAGGACACAATTTTGTGCCTGCTGTAACTTTTTCCTATATGATTTGGCAGCGTAATGGCAAACCGCACATTGAGTTGATCAGTGTTACACGAATTTCGCTTACTGCGCATGCCCAGAAGCGAATTTGGCGCAATTACGACTTTCGCGCAATTTTTAAAGAAGATAAATATGGTATGTGGTTGATATTGTGTTATCTGGGCGTAAACAGTTCGGGGTTTTAAAACTTGTTAGGTTTTAAGTTGTTTCATTAGTTAAGAGTGTAAATATCGATTGTAAAGTATGCAAATTTTCGTTTAAGAAGGATTACAAAACGGATAACATTATTGCAAGTTACATTATTATCCGAATGAATATTGATTATACTTCTGATGAGTAAAAGCAGTTGAGTATTTACCATACCTTACATTCGTATATACTTTAACAAGGAAAAAATTACCAGTTTAAATCAAAGAAATTATAAGTAGCTGATATTAAATGTAACGTTTATGAACAAAAATAAAATAAAGCACATGCAATAAAGCATACACAAATATCCGTAGTATTGCAATTGTAAACAGTCGATAAGATATACATAACTAACAGGATCGTGTAGGGTTGCTTATGCTTATGCGAAAGTATTTCCTCCCACGCCAACAGTACACAAATAAGCATGCGCAATAAGCGAAATTCGTTAACATTGATCAACTGAATATGCGGTTGGGCATTACGCAACCGGGCAGGCATAATATAGTATGGGACGCAATACAATTTTATAAATAAGCAACTTGTTATCTATTGAAAGTACACTGTTTCGAGAACTTAAGGGGTGAAGTGTAGCTTTACTAACTCGAAACTTTTTAAGGATAGATGTTATGTGTGAGTACCATGAGAGAGTTCTACTGAAGATCATCCCAAGATAAAGGACTTGCTTGGTCCATGGAATATCTCCGTAAAGTTGCAGGTTTTTATTGAATTTGTTCTTCTTGGTATAAAGGATTGCTTGAGTCTTATCTACATTAACTTTGATTTTCCATCTTGTCAAGTAAGTCTAGAGTATGTTGGTATAGTCTTGTAATCGTTGTATTGCTGGGCTAATGAATGCACTTTGTGAGAGGATCGCAGTGTCGTCTGCATACATTGCAAGTGTTGTGTTTTGAATGGTGGGAATGTCGTTCACGTAAATATTGAATAAAGTGGGTTCACGCAGAGGTGCCATACGCAGCGAGGGTGTGTGTTTCAGTGGGGCTGTCGTTTGTGTTAGATTGCTAGTATGTGGGAACATTACAGGGTGATAATTCACAGTGGTATCTCCCATACTTCAACTTGTAGCTTTAGCTGTACCGCTGAAGAGGGGAAATAAAATAAACACAATAAACAGATATACTGTGTGAATACTTTATTTGTTTCTAATTTCAACACTTTTAATAATACTCTGCTCTTTACAAACATTATTTACATTGAAAAAGGTTAACCGATAACTTTGCATATATTAGGAATGTTTCATTTTGAACTTATCACATCGATATTTCCCCCTATATATATATATATATATAACAACTATTTGGGGGTTAAACTGTCTTCCTTACCGCGATTCATTTTTGCCTTCTCGCTCGAAAGAGCCCCCATCCCTCTCAAATCGAGTCTTCTCTGCAAAAAGAGCTTATGAACCCAAGTGTCTGTGGCCACCGCTATTCGCCATCCCCCCGGCTGCGGCCAAAGATTTTTGTTATCGTTGTCGTTAATTCGTTGGATGATGGGAAGAACAAAAAAGTTCACCAAAAAAATCATGTACATCTTTTGGAACACCTATTAAACACAAAACTCCTTACGTCTCAGAAACCATTTACAACCAGGACAAGAATTTCAGAATTATGATTGCAGAAGACGATGGTGATAGACGAAAATGTTTGCAAACACTAGTTTAAGCAAACTGCACTCAGAATTTAAATTTCGAGCTAAAGGCACTCCTGGCAAAGACTAAGTAAGTTCAAGTACATAGCCACATTGCTCTATTAGATTGTAGATCCCTTAAGAGGACTCATACACCTTAAAATCTTCGAATATGTGATTGTTGCAAGAATTGGGATATTTTATTTTAAAAGCAATTACTTCCAACTTTTTACAGCTGACTCCATAATATAGCTGCTTTCTGAACTATTAACCAGAAAGTTTGTGTTGCCACAAATATTTTTATAATTGAATCTGCTTTGTATTAATATGCTTTCACGTCATGTTTCCACCTTGCGAGCACAGTTTAAAATATTCTGTTGCATAATTTAATTCCGTATTTCATATATAGCTTTTATAACATTTGAAAACTTCTGTGAAGCAAAAATCCTAAAAATTTCATGTTAAATTTATATTTTATTTGGAGTTGAGTTTATAAAATGTATTTTATTAAAAATCTAATGTTTTCGTGCATAAAATTCTTTAATATTAAAATATTCGTCAGATTTTTGGTTCAGTTAGAAGATAGTGCCCATATAAAAAGTTCCCTCTAATTTCAAGTATGTACTGTTAACCATTTTTAAAATGTCCTACGCTCAAGTTGGAAACATGACGTGAACGCATAAACATGTTTGTCACAAGCAGATTCAATTATAAAAATATTTGTGGGAACACAAACTTTCTGGTTACAGCTGACTCCATAATATAGTTCCCGAAGCAGCTATATTATGGAGTCAGCTGTAAAAGGTTGGTAGTAATTGCTTTTAAAATACATAAAACATCGCAATTTTTGCAACAGTCATATATTCGAAGATCTTAAGGGTTTTAAGATGTACGAGTCCCCTTAAAGTGCAGTCTCAGCAAATCCATTAGTTTCACTAGATTAAGCTTATAGTGTCTTAGCTTACTGTGTTATAGCTTATTGCGTCTGTAACAGCTTATTTTAATAATGAACCATTTCATTAAAAACGCAATAACTTGGGTTCTCGTAGCCAAAAAATGTTATAGGAATTAAATATACATTATCTTTGATACAACTATCTGTTCATTCACAGTTTCGCATCTTTCAAAATCCTCACACAACAAAACAGCAAATTCTCTATTACTGTGCATTTATTACAATATGAAGTACCTTTAATAATCTTTCTATAGATGTCTAATACTTCTTGATACATTCTAATTATTAATACTTAACTTTTTATGGGAAGTTAGTAATTCATCACCTTTCATGGTAATTAAAACAAATTTTTTAATAAAATGGTTCATGAATAAAATGGTTTTTGTAACATGCACAAAGCTTAACAGATTAGCAAACCTAGCATGGATTACCGAATATTTAGTTTTTTTGCAACCAAATATTTGATTTAATACCTAAATTACTTTAATAATTTTACTTTAACTTGTAACTTTAATAATAATTTTACTTTAATAAAATATTCTAATATTTAATTTTAAAATATTCAAATTTTACATTTTTCAATAACCTTTTTCTCAATTACTAAATATTTACGTTTTTTGCAACTATCACGATATTTTCCGCTCATTAATTCTGAACACATATCCAAGACGATTTCTGTTTTTGACAAATGTTAAACTCCTTGACCCAAGTTATATGGCAGTAATTACGCATACAAGAACGCGAATAAAAAAAAACTGAGTTAGAATTAAACAAAATATTTACGTATCCCAATCACTACGGGCAGTGTCGATCATTTTTAAACAGAAGAGGAAGACTAGCATAAAAACAAGATTAATATATACACACTAATGTTAACTAAAAATGTAACTCATAAAAATTTACGAAAGAACACAGGCTCAAGATAATGTTATACTGTAAAAATTAAAATTCAGTTAAATACCACAATTTAAACTTAACTATTCATACAAAGAAAATTCGATTCTTTTTTCCTTTTTTCACCCTTAAATATTATCAATATACCTTTTTTTTCTTTTTTTACATTTCAATATATATAGATATATTTTTCAACACTGTCAATGTTATGTCACAAAATTCTTTCAAACACCAAAAATTTCGCCGACTGCCCCGGCGATCATATAGCACTATATCGGGGATGACCTTCGCAACTCTACGATAAGAAAGCAAGTCTAGACATGACTAGACTGAGAACAGGAGAACTCAAGATTGGCGACAACCAGGAGGCGATGCAGTTAGCTACATCGAAAAATCAAACAGGAGATAACATTGCGAAAAAAGAATAGTAACATGTTAACACGATTTGCTGAAGAGGAAGAATGCTGAGAAGAACGTTGCCGATTTGGTTTAGTCCAATATTTATAAAGAATCGCAGACGAATTTGGTCAGCAGTTTGGTTGGAGTTCCAGTGCCCTGAAAAAGTCGTGAATTGTGCGCAGATTTTCGTTTGGAAGCCGCTTGGACGGAGAGGACAATCTGTTGTTCGCGGATCAGTAAGAGGGCTCACCGATGCACTTGAAAACTGTCTCGTCACGGTTACAGATGATTATCCATTTGTCTACATGGCAGCAAAGTCTTGGTTTATTTGCAATCGAGTGTCAGACAATAGGGGATTTTTGTGAAGAATCGCAGGCTACGAAGGATTTGAGGGACAGTCGTTCAGACGAAGAAAAATTAAATATCACCTAAAAATATACACAACAACAGAACAGAACACAAAACCGGGATCCATTCATTTTTCTTGATGCTTCGGCGGAAGGAAAGAAATGTTAAAAGATGTCCTGGATCATTGGCACAAAAAGCGTGAATCCCGGCTGGGTCACGTGCATGGCATCCAAGAGCAAGGGCATGGGTAGGATGCGTAAGGAGTGAAGAAGAAGCCTCCGCCGAAGACAATATGTGGATGTGGCTGGAACAAGTCTTTCGCTTGATGTTCTAAGAAGTAAGTGCGACACGCAAGTTCCTCTATCAATGCCAGGGACTGACGACGCTCGTGGCCCATTAAACAGACTGTGCTCTCATCTACGACGCGATGCAAAACTAACAGGTACTCGTACTTGTTCTGCTCTTCTCCCATGAAATGGTTTGCCAGATAACTCTCGAGTTTCGCCCTCTGCTGATTGATATCACCGAAGTCGATGAAGAAGCGTGAACACATGTACCGCTCCAGATGTTTGATCTTGTCTGGTCTGGCTGGTTTATAATCTCGCACCAGTAGGTTGCAGTATTTTAAAAGTCCCCCACCGCGAATTTCTTCTGGATTTCGGGTGGCTATTAGCTTTTTGTGAAGATGGTACAAAGCTTCTTGAAAATCCCCATACACGGACTCGGCAACCACGGTCGGATAGAAGTTGTCGCTCATCGACATCTGGGAACATCCGTAAAACAGAAGAAGTGAGTCGAGGATGATCTGGAAAGAGTCGACGCTGAATTCGAATTGTCGGCGCATCGTGTCGACAAATTTCAGTTCGATGTTGCGGCCACGGTTGTTGCTCAGACTGATTAGACTCCAGCGATCACCGTTCGTTACCTGTTAAAAGAAAAAATATCAGTACATGATAACATGTACAAAATATACAATTTTCATACTAAACGAAACAATTTTTTTCCACCTGACATCGTTACGCGACAGAACATTTACGGAAATGAAAACCTTGTCAGTGTACCTTTTCCATAGCGCCCGTCAAAATGGCTTTTAACAGTAAATGATTATTGTATTAACTGAATTAATTGAATGAGAAATATATCTAATGAAATTCGTGGAAATAAGTTTAAACCATATGCAGGATAAATGCGTTAATTTAATATTCCGTACAAGGAAGTCATGTGGTGTACACATCAGATTTTTTTCTTCTTAATGGAACCAAGTTTTATATTTTTTTTTCTCCGTTTAGAATTATAAACAGATTTTTGTTGCAGTTATTTACGTAAATCCATTCAAGAGTCAACTAAATTTGATGAAATTAGTTTTTTTATCTCTTGTTCAACAGTTTTTGTACAGGGTTCTTGCAAACTGTTTTACGTAGAGCACATACCTCGGCAAAAGCTGGTGAACTTTTTCTTTACGCTGTAAATTTTGAATTATCTTTTGCTCCTATAGATGTATTTAAAGACTTTGCAATTGATTTCTGCGTCGGCGGATGTTCTCTTGGTAACGTCCATTTAACTTTATAAACAGTACTGCGAAAAAAAAATTTCCCGTTCTACAGGGTTGATTGACGATATTCAAATTGCGTTTTTCATGTCTCGAAAGCGCCACTTAGAATATATATATTAGATTTATATGTAGCATTGATTTAACAGAAAATCGGAGCATTTCTGAAATAACATACAATTTTTTTTTCCATATTTCGATTCTACGACTCAAATTGTGCCTAAATATTAAATTTTGTAACATTCGGTGCGAAATTTACAAAGAAATTCAGAAATTTATCTTGGCGTATTTGTTTCAGTTTGCGCCAAGAATAATTTACTTGGTGAACTTCTTAATTTATAGCAACCTAATTTTCCTTTCCTTTTTTGCATCGCAGACGAGAGGAAAAAAAGCCAACTTGAATGCTTTCAAATGATTTTAACAAAGTGCGTAAACCACATTTGGAGTTATTATCGCTCCAAAATAAAGATGCCAAATTTCAATACGTGTCAATATGTAATTTCATGTACATCATACAAAATTCTGAATAAAAATCTAATTTTTTGCAGGTGTGCCTAAAAATACATTTACTTTAAGAGGATTTTTAAAATGTTATAGGTTATAATACAAAAAATTTTTCGAGAAATTTATAAAAATACTTAAAAATACAAATTAAAAAATCATAAAAAATGTGCGAATTATAATTGGATTAAGCCTAAATTTCGAATTTTGGAAGAAGGAATCAAGTTTAATAAAAAAACATTAATAAATATATATCTAATTCAATTAACACTTAGGAGCTAAAGTTTTCAGAGCTAATTTTTAAAAACTACTCGTGTGATTTTTTATAAAACTTGGCAATTTGGTATATTTTGAGTCGTAGAATCAAAATACGGAAAAAAATTGGCATGTCATTTTAGAAAAAGGTCCTATTTTTGTGTAAAAATATCTATGGAGATACAGAACTGTCCACCCTCGTTTTTCAGGTGTTCGTTTGGGGTTTTCTTTCTCTGTAGAAGTAACGATTGACGTTTTTTCCGTTTCCGATTAACAATATTGCTTATTTTGTAGCGAGAAATTTTAATACTACTCATTTCACAACTTTTCTGAATTACGGAATAGGAATATTGCTCTTCGGAATGCCCAAAAACGTATCCTTCAATTCACAGCTTTTTTACACGCGACAATTTAAAAGCAAGATAAATTTAAAACTAGCAGACAAAATTTCTTACTTCAAATATCAAGCTGGTGCCAGAAATTTGTAATCCAAAACATTTGGTATTTGAAATTTTTTCGAAATTGTTCTGAAAAGTATGTAAACATCCTCTGCAGACACTAGGAAATCCAGGAAAACATTCACAACAACCAGTCTGTTCACTACCAAGAACCAGTAGAACGCGCTGTTTTTAGCTCATTTCCGTTTCCTCTGTTTGACAGACATTGTTAACAATACCAAAATGCCCCAAATGAAGTGATATCCGGCACTTGGACTATGAGAAAATATTTGTCCGGAACATTTCTCAAACGTAAAATGAGCCAATGTTAGTACGGAAACATTTCTTTTAGCTTCTTTAAACTACTATTATTGATACTAGCCGCTATGACGCCCGCCTTCGTCTGTCTCTTAAATGTACCGTAAAAATGCCTAAAGGGAACACCAAATATTAAATTTAAAACATGCACAGAAATTTTACTCTGCAGAACAACTTTATAAAAATTAAAAAACCTGAAAGGTTTCAGATTTTAAATTACGTTCAAAGGGGCGTTTCTTTTTAACATTTTCTGTGTTACCTTTATTTATTAAATATCACGTTCTTCTCACTTAAATCATAAAATTCAGTTCAACAGAAATATCGCAAAATAGTTTTAAATTGAGTCTACTTTTAGAATTTCCGATACGCAGTCTCACGCGCTGGAGATAAAAATGTTTTTTTCTGTACAACGTTGCAATGGCGCGCCTTGAAATCCTTGAGTTGGTTAATCAAAAATTCGTTAAAGTTTTACAAAATATGCAATACATAATAAAACAAATTCCAAATTTGGGCTTCCACATTCCCATATTCGCAGTACGATTACGTCATTCAAAATTCGATGGCTCTATGTACCGTTGTTCTATCACAATGCGAGAAATACACATTTATGCAGATTTTTTATTATTTAATTTCTTCAAATATAATGCAGGACTCTAACATTAAGTGGCAACAGTTTGTAAAGTGAAACGGATATTTATAGTGAACCAACGCAAAATCTCAAAACGAAAACAATAGTCCTTCAGAGACAAAGCCCCTTTGGACCAAAAATTCAATAAAAATGTATCACATATTAAAAAAATACAATGAAATAAGCAATATCCCTTCATAAAAATATTAATTATCCTAATAAATAAACCAACTTCCCGTTACAAAATCTTAAAAATTCAAATAGTATAAAGGAAGTTAAGAATTTTGTTTCCTAAAACATCATGCAAAACATTTTATATAATTAAAATTATACATAATTAAAACATAATATAACAAATTTGCAATGAAATAAAGCAATAAATCTCATATTTTGAACAGTTAGCAGTCCAGTATCCAAAGCAATGAATAAAAAACTGTTGCCAGAACCCCATTTCTAAAAGAATGAAACTATCATCAGAAAGCAATAATCCATCAAAATTGTGCTTTGTAGATGACACAATTCAAAATATACAAAACTCTTTGCCAATAGCTAATAGAAAGTGAGAGGAAAAAAATGAAATTCTTTCTGTTGTGCCTCGCGACACACATGCGCGTCAGAATGAGAAGATTGCATGTTGCGTGTACAAAAAATAAAAAAATAAGCAGCATTTTGTCTCATTTTGAACAGTCGGCAGTCCAGTATACAAAGTTTTGAATGAAAATCTGATGCCAAAACTACATTTCTAAAAAAATGAAACTATTCAAAATGATGCGATAAAATTAAAAAAATCTGATTCGAATTTTGAAAAAATCGCTTAGAGGTGCACTGGCTCTTGTCTAGATGCACCTATATACCAAATTTCGTAGCCCTGGGTCTATTAGCTTACGCGCAACACGAACGAAAGGCGCACACACTCTTTTAATATACGTAGAGATAGAGAAATTTCTTTTCTTATAAATATACTAGGGAAGCCATGGTTAATTTTCGATTTGTTTATTCGATCACGGCAAAGCATACGAATATTATTACCTAAGGATATGGATGCCTTCGTGGTGGGGTTTCTAAGGGAATTCTATTCTGATTCGCATATGTGTTTCCACATGCGTATTCACAAAACCTACTACTATCTTTCCTTCTATGGCCTGTTCTCATTGGATGAAACGGCGGCGGTGATATTTGGAATGGTGAGTTATCACCTTGTTGGTTTTATAACGAACGCCAGACATACCTTGTTTATTTAGAAAGCAGTCCGGCCCACCTGACGAGCGAAAAGTATATATATATAACATATGTTACGGTGAAACACCGAAATCTGGAGAATGTCGACTTTCACAGGTGAATGTTAACATTCACATAGTCGCTTGGTGTATGTCCGAAATATTTTCCAAATACTCTTATTTCTGACTTACACCGGTGAATGTCAACATTCACCATGTACTAATGGTGAATGTTGAACATATAAGAATATTATATTTTCTTCTCCGTCATTCAGTCGCGAAAAAACGCACTTAAGACTTAAAATAAGAACTTTAAACAAACGGTACATTCAAAATGAGAAAGGAAAATAATAGAAGTTAAAAACTTAATTATACTGTACGTTCTAAATGAGAAAATAAAATACGAATAATAAAACACTAAGTGATTCAAATCTTATTTATTGCAACAATTTAAACTATTATGGCACTTTGAATGGCACAAGAGGCCCTTGCTTTTACAACTGCATTTATTTGTGGAACACTTCTTTTTGCAATGACAGCGTGTATAGCCTTACCCACGGCTTCTCGATTTAGCTGCAGCTGCTTCTCTCAGCGACATTTCTTGAAAATAAATTTCATCTACGGAAAGTATTTTTTTTTTCTTTTTTTTTTTTTACAAATTGCGCACTGATTACTTGTGTAAAGCTGCTTGAGGTTGCCATTTTCGTTTGCAAGTTTATAGAAGTCTCAGTCTTCTATTCCGACAACAACCGCTAACACGTTTCCGTTATCTGTACGACCACGGTCGACATCAGGGACTAGTATTCGTACAATATCACCAATTTGAGTCAATCTTTTCGACCTACATCAGAGTATATCTGTGATTGTCAACATACACCGGTGAGGGTCAGAATGTACAAGAATGTAATGCAATATTCGATCTTTCATCGACGTATTTGGTGAATGTTGACACTCTCCACTTTCGGTCTTTCACGGTAACATATACACTCCACCCTTCTTACCCGGCTTAAAAGTCCTTACTCGATCTTTGTTCTCTCAATCGTTGCTCGTAGACATATACTTCCATACACTTAAACATAGACATACACTTGAAATGCATTTAAAAATGTGTATAATTTAATAGGCCATACAAAGAAGTCAATGTGGTGTACGAAGTAAAAAGGAAGTATTGTAATCACGAAACTTTTCGGGTGTCATATTTCAACAAAAATAACCATTTTGACCGCTATCGAATGCAATTTAACGATGTTTTTGCGTGACATCTGTACGTAAGGACAGAATAAAGGACTCTTTTTCCCAAAACGAGTTGCCATTGCTCGCTTTGTAATCCTCGAGTTGGTTAATCAGAAATTCGTTAAACGTTTTAAAAAATATAAAACAAATTCGGGCTTCCAGACCCATATTCGGAGGAGGATTAAGTTATTCAAACTTGAATGGCTCTAGGTACGGTGGTTTTATCACAACGCGAGAAACATACATACATTTATGCGGTTTCTTCAATATTGAATTTCTTTAAATATAAACACACGGCTCTAAAATTTGGTGGCAACAATTTGAACAACGCAAATTGCCAAAAGAAAATTAATAGCCCTTCTGAGCTAACGCCCTTTGGGCTAATAAGCATTTAAGGGCGTCGGATACCTATTCCTTTTTACTTAAAGGTAAGTATAACTAAAATTATAATTTATTCCATTGTGCGCTATTTCTTTTGCAACGCTTTTCGCTACACCATGCTCATACATAGCAAAGGCGCTAGAAGCAAAAGCCGCCAAGCACAAGATTGTATGTTTTTTGTTTTAACCAATCGGAGCAATTTGTAGAAGAAACGGGCTGCAGGCTTTGTGAATATGCGTTTCACGAGGGAAAAACCACGAAAACGGGTACGCCAGCCAGCTCGTCCGTAGGAATTCGATGCCCGGAACGAATTACCAGTGTTCAGCGACTTTACCACTCGCCGAGAAGCCTTGAGCCCAAAGGCGAAAATAGATTACTTTAAGAAGTGGAAAATTTATTTAGAGATACACCCATTCGGTCAAGAAAAGTGGATTAGAAGAAACGTTTTAAACGGCCGTATTCCCCCGGCGGCATCACTGTGCCATCGAAAATGAGCATGGAGCCGCCATTACCGTCAATAGCGAACATTACCGTGCCATGCTAAACGAATTTTTGTTTCCAAAAATTGAAGAGGGTGACATTTGGTTTAAACGGGGAGGGGACACTTGCCACACAGACAACGTAATCATCGATCTTTTACACTGTTTTTAGAAATCGAAATACTGATGTCAATTTTCCGCCTCGGAGCTGTGATTTGACCCCGTTGGAATATTTTTTTTTTTTTTTTGGGTGTGTGTGTGTGGGGGGGAACCATAAGGATTGATTGCCGCTAAAAAGGAAGATGCACAACTACATATTATAGCAGCCCTATATACAAAATTTTAACGTTATGAGGCTACTCGTTTAGAAATATGCAACATACATACATACATACGTACAGACATGACGAAAGAATGTCTTCTGAATCCATTTTAAATGAGTTTAATTTTTGGGGGCAAAAAGAGTCCTTTACTCTGTCCTTACGTACAGATGTCACGCAAAAACAGTTATATTGCATTCGATAGCGGTAAAAATGGATATTTTCGTTGAAATATGGTACCGGAATTTTTTGCGATTTGAACGATTACACTATTTCCTACAAGAAATAAAAATGCAAGACTATTGATGAGGAGAACCACTCTTTTAAAAGGAGTCGATGCAAGAAAAAGGTTGGGTATTGTCGATTTAAAACATGAAATACCACCCGAAACTAGCAAAAAAGAAGCTGAATGGTTCATAGTTGAAATAATGAAAATGGCTCCAGGTCAAACTCATTCCGCTGAGAATCAATAATCTAACTCTACAACTTCTATTCAAAGTGTTCTGAGGCAGAATTTCTTCTCATTCATAATTCACAAAGGATATTAAATTATATTTTGTATTTTATAGGCACTTTTTTTAGACTCTTAAGTTCAAATATATGCAACATAAAGGAAATGGAAGGTGTTATATAATGGATTTTACGCAGAATTACTGTTTGAAAAATTTCAGAAACTTCGCACGTTGTCTAATTTCGTGCACTTTTGTCAATCGGAGAAAGAAAAAAATGAAAGCACGAAAATGCATAAAACTGTTTAAGGCTCCCGAATTTCTTGCCTAATTTTGCGTTCGCACGATCCCCACTTACATAATTACCGTTCACCAGAAACGCTTCGTAAATTGTCCATCGCGTGATGGTCCATTGCCATGAATAGTATTCACTACCATGCAGAGCGTGATGAGTTCCATAAAAGGTTCAAAGACGATGAATGCACAGAATTGTTTTAAATATGTCCAGCAATCACAGCAGTCCCAAATGCAGCAGAAATCTATGCACTTCAAGCACTGCGCGAAGCACTTCTCTTTGAAATTGGGCTTTTCCTCCTCCTCCTCTGTCTGTTGGAAAATAATAGAGGGACACTGAATAATGTTTAAGTATGGCCGATTAGTAGCCTGTTTACTCTATGTTGAAACACTACGAACGACGACTGCCATGCTCAAGACAAGGGAGCTCTCCTTTAGATCATACGCGAGGATACTAAGAACTATTTAAATCCTAAGTAACAATATGCATACAACCTCGCATCTAAGCATATCAGTATGGATGCGACATAAAAAGACACCAAAATTTAAAAAGGATATTTTGTAAAACATTTATAACTTTAAAACAAGTAGAATAATCCACCATAAAAGCTTTTTGCTAATTGCTTGCTATATCAATATTGTTATTCGAAAACCTAAAGCGATATTCGCGTATAAAGCTATGGCAGTTTGAAGTTAAAACTACTTATAGGTAAGTATTTAATATTCAAATCTGGCTAAACGTTTTTTGAATTTCAATCTTTTCTTCTTAGTGAAAGTGTAAGGTATATTTTAATTTTATAACAGTTACTTTAACTTCAAAGTGATTTCGTAACAATTCTTGTTTCCACTTGCAACTCCCTATCAGAATGAGGTTTTAGAATCACTTTGAATGCAAATGAGTTAGAAGCAGCACAGGGTGGACCAAATAAGATCTACCAATGTTAAGCACAAATAACTTCATTTTTTGATATAATTATTTTTTTCTTTTTGTAGGTTATAACTGAATTCTTGGAAATTTATTAAGGAACCATACAGTACAAAACAACGCGTTAAAATTATCGAGTTTTTCTATTCTTGTCAACGATCAATTGTTATGACGCAGCGTAAATAGCGGCAATATTTTAATTAAAGTGTACTGTTTGGTGCGTTGTTATGGCCAACAGAGTTATCGGCTCATATTTCTTGGAGAATGAGGATGGAACGCCGGAGCTTCTTACAGAACAATGAAAACTTTTCGCTGCCAATAACGGAGCAGAATCTTTTTTTATGGGGATATTTAAAAGACAAAGTGTATGTTAATAAACCAGACTCTTAGACAGCTGAAGCAGAATATTCGAGACGAAATATTGAGCCTTAAACCAGAAACATTCAGTGGTGTAAAAGAAGCCAATCTCTGTATCGAGAAAAATAGTGAATATCTGTCTGATTTGATAATTTCCATAAAATATACTTAACGTATAAAAACTTAACCAAAATAAATGATTATTACAAGAGTTATCCGTGTTTAACATTAGTAGGTCTTATCTGGCCCACTCTGTATTAATTTAAATACTTACCTTCACCATCTTGTGGACATAGGCTTCTTTCAGACTGCAAGAGCTGATTCGCTTCTTGACGACGCCTTCTGGCAAGAAATCCAACAGCGAATCCAGGACAGCTGTCTTCACTTTGTCGAAATTGCGCTGGTTCGAGAGATCCACAGCGAAGATGAGATCGAGGTCATTGTATGGCGACGCCTCTGGGGCAAGCACATGACTAGCAGCACCTCCGTTCAATCTGATATCTCGGACAGCAACGGATTGCTCGCTCTCCAGCTTGGCCCTGACGACTCGAACGAGATCCTTGAGTCGCACCTCGAGGGTGGGAAAATTGCCGCGCCCGTGGATGGGCATCACTTCTTCCATGACAGCGTCCAGCTTGCTGACTTGCTCGTAGCTGAGAACGGCGAACCGCTGCCCGTCAGCCATCTCGCCAGTCTTCTCACCTCGTTTGCCCCCCATCTTCAGGCGCTGTCGCAGACGCTCAGGCGTGGCCTCTGCCGATTGGTCAGACTGAAACGGAAACAAAAGGAAAGTCAGTTACCCTTTTTAATACTCAAGTGCATTTCAACGAAGTCGCCTTACGGCAAGAAAATACAATCGGAAGTCAAAATAAATAACCACTGCTGGCATCTAGAATATCTTCGCAAAAAACACAACTAAACATTTAATAAAACAATTCAACGCCCTTGGGATTCAAGACCGAAATTAATTTTTCGGTGTTTACCTGTTTCCGCGGCTGTCAGAAACGTTTCTGTTTCCGCAAAAATCATCAGTCTTCCTTACCTCCTACCCAAAGGGGTTACATATTTAGTTTTACAAAATATGAAATCGATAATAAAACAAAATCCAAATTTGAAATTTGGGCTCCCACATGCCCATATTCGCAGTACGATTACGTTATTCAGAATTCGACGGGTCTATGTATCGTTGTTTTATCACAATGTGAGAAATATACATATATTTATGCAGATTTTTCATTATTTAATTTCTTCAAATATAATGCAGGACTCTAACATTGGGTGGCAACAGTTTGAAAAGTGAAACGGACATTTATAGTGAACCAAAGCAAAATTGCAAAACAAAAACAATAATCCTTCAGGGACAAAGCCCCTTTTGGACTAAAAAAAGTTTTTAAAAGAAATAATCGAAAAATATTTTCGATCTCAGATCTTTGCATGAATGAAGCTAATACTGTATTTAAAAGGAGACAGAGAAATGTTCAAACTGTGCAATAATTTTGGCAACAGATCGTTTTCTACAGTAAAAAACAATATCCTTATAAAATTCTGCATAAAGGTGAATTACAATAACATCCCTCAGAATAAATAATCGTTCTAAAATGATATTCTTTCTTCTAAAAGGACTTCTGCTTTGGTCTCAATTGCGCCTTTGCAGCTTTTCATTTATGAAAATCCAATAAACTACGTTTTCCTTATATATGTTCCGAATTCGATATTGATAACAATAATCATAAAAGGCTAAAGATTTTTTTCCTTTTAGTTTCAATAATGTCTAAAACATCCATAGTGTTTAACATAAGATGCGCAAATAGCAGCTAATATTGTAGCAGAATTACAAACAGTATGAAACTAAAGATTTCGAGAGGAGCCTAAACTACGATACGTCTTCAATCTAACGAAGACTAACTTATTCACAAAGAAACTGCCCAGCTCTTCTTGACAATTCATCATGACATCTCCAGAGGAGCTGTTGGAGGGGGTGTACTCTCCAATTTCGTGGGAACAGGAAAACGCAGAAACAGAACTATTCGAATTGATCACACTTCAACGAATTGGTAATTATCATATGGTATCCGTCGAAATCATCTCAGATGAAAACGTCGGGGAGAAAACAACGCAAGACGAAAACTTCGCAGAGAAAACAACGCAAGACGAAAAATCGTTGTAAAACACCGAGAGAGTAAAAAAAGCAGAAAGAAAACATCGTTGTACAAACCGGCGTGGTAAAAAATAAAGCGCTTCAAAAACTTCGCAGTTTAAAAAATCGTTGCAGAAAATAAAGCGGTAAAAATAAAGTATTTACAAATCATCGCATGACGATAATATGCGCGTTTTAGACTTTAAAAGTCATAAATGCATATTTGCATCATGATCTACGAGCGGAAAGAGGAATATTTTTATTTTTGAATTTCGTATTTTGGAATTAACTAATAAATAAATTTTTGCTGAAGAAATAAGAAAGAGAATTTAAAAAGTGAAAATTAATGCAACTTGTAGCACTGAATTTAAACTTACTTTACTTATTTTAACTAATAAAGGTCATTAATATATATATTATATATATATTATAAAGTTTCACTTGCAAGTTTTTATAAAAAATAGTTTAAGAAAGACTTCAAAAAGGATTGGATTGGATTATTTAATTATGGCAAAGCACAAGAGGGCTATCTGTCTGAAGGAAGGGATGCCTTCGTGGAGGACTTTCTAAGGGAAACTGGCTCGTATACACGTTACACATGGGGAAAACCACGAAAACGCCCATGCAGCCAGCCCGTTCGCGGGATTCGAACCTCGGACCGAACTACCAGTGTTCAGCGTCTTTACCGCTCGGCCGCTGAATTTAAAAAGGAAGTTATGTAACTGTGTGAAGTAAACGTTTGTTTGCAATGATTTGTAGGTGCTTTATTTTTTACCACGATATTTTCGAAGACTATATTTTGTACCACGATATGTTAGAATTGCGATGTTTTCTGTTCGCTTTCTTTTCTCCCACGACGTTTTCGCTTGGCGTTGTGTTCTCCGCGATGTTTTCGGCTGTAACCATATCATATAGAGTTGAAAATACAGTAAATCCTTGCCGAAAACAGGATTACGTCATTTATACATTGCGTATACGCCAAACACCCTTTCCGCAAAGTTAAGCTTCTATGGAAAAAAAAAAAAAATAGCTTTAACACAGATTAAGAAAGCATGTTTACAATTTATAAAAATCTGACGTGTGCATCACATGACTTCCTTGTACGGAATATTACATTACACGCATTTTTTCTTCCATTTCATTTAAACTTTTTGTATTGAATTAAATCTACTTCGTCGATACCCCATAAACCACAATAGAATAAATGCACTTTCTATGCACTAGAATAAATTCACTATATTTGTTTACCATACGACACTTTGGAGATAGGTTCACTTAACAGCGTTATATTTCTCTCGTATTATAACTCAGAATGCACAAAATTTATATCATTTGAATAATTATCTAATCGTTGCCACATGTTCTATTCAAATACTATAATAAATATAAAATTATGTACAAAAGAAATTAACCAAAACAAAAAAGAAACAGTTTTTCACAGACGATTCAGTCATTTTTCATTCAATTAACTGAATTTTCAATTCGCGACAAGGTAAAAATACATAAAAGCCCAAAATATCTATATTAAAAAATTACGAAGTAAATCTTACACTTATTTCCTCGAATAAATTCCAGAATGGGTTAAGCAGGATTTAATTCGCAATAATAAAAGAAGGCGTTATCTTTTGTTGTTGGTAAGCTTAGTATCTCGAGATTGGCAACAAATCGGTTATTCTGCCAAGTTTCAAGTGTAAACAAACATAGCCAAAATCGCAAAATAATTAGGCTTAGCCGCACTTAAAAAAAACTTTTAAATTGTTGATAACTAACAATATTGCATGCAAATTTACAAAGGCATAAAAATCTTAACCGGAAGATAAGAACAACATCATTCAATCGTTTTTAAAACAAAAAATGCACGATTTATAAACATATAAGAGTAAAGAAACTGAGATCACTGAGCCGGGTAACAGAGTGGATATATATATATACGTTTGGTGCGGCCGATTGCAACCAAAATACGAGGTGCACATCTACATGTTATAGCAGTCCTATATACAAAATTTCAACGTTCTGAGGCTACTCGTTTTTGAGTTATGCGAGAAACGTACGTACGTACGTACGTACAAGACGCCACGAAAAATTCTCTTCAGAATTCATTTTAAATTAGTTTTATAATTTTTTTTTAAGGAAAAGAGACTTTTATTCTGTCTTTACGTACAGATGTGACGCAAAAACATAGTTAATTTGTATTCGATATTGGTCAAAAATGGATATTTTCATTGAAATATGCTGCCTGAAACTTTTCGCGATTACAATACTTCTTTTTTACTTCGTACAAGGAAGTAAAGTACTAAACATTGTTGTAACTGAAACACATAAATTTAATGTTCATTGAAAGAATTTTTATAACTGCTTAACAAATACGTGATTATATACGTATTACCGCTTAAGTGCGGAAATCGGTTCTTTTGCACATTATCTAGATAATCTGAAGCTTAACTAGAGTGATCCGTTGAAGTACAGAAAATTGTTTCATTCGTCAAATTACCTAAGTAATCTGAAAATTACCTCGATAATCCGCACATTGCCTACTAGCCACTCGTTAAAGTGAAAACAGGATCTTTGCTGGAACAACAGAAACGTTTTCGTAAGCTTAAATTAAAACAATGTACTTACTTTTCGATATCTAAAAAATCGAGTTAGTACAATAAACAATTAACTAATTAGTTGATAGAAGCAATCATGAATCAATTAAAAACTATAATACAAATAAAACGGCTTAAAATATTATAATTAAGGAAATTAACATAGTTATTTATTTTTCGATACCTGAAGGATCAAGTTCATACAATTAGACAATCAAGAAATTAGCTGACAGAATCAATCAATTAAAAAACTTTAATACAAAGAATCCTATTTTCATCCCTAAACACTGTACCGTCTGGTCATCTATTTGCTGGTGCAAACAGTAAAATTTTGATATGTTTAGGTTGTTCGTTAAACGAAAGTATGTGCGAAAAAACAGTTTAAACATAAAATAAAAAGAAATCTATATGAATTTTTTTTTTGGGGGGGGGGTCTCTACCTTACTGCATTGCTATCAACAAACAGTGTGTGTACGATGTAAACTACATACCTTTATCAGGAAGTAGGTTAACAATCGATAACAAAATTTCACTCACTATGAGTGAGCTTAATTTTTTTTTTACTATTGGAAAGTTTTTTAATTTGTGAATTTATAATTAGCCTAAAAGGCGTTAGCCCAAAAGGGCTATTAACTCCGTTTTGGCATTTTGCTTCGATTCACTTTTCAAACTGTTGCCACCAAATATTACAAACCTTGTGTTATATTTAAAGAAATTAAATAATGAAGAATCTGCAACTCGTTACTGTACTAACACGATTTTTTAGATATCGAAAAGTAAGTACATTGTTTTAACTTAAGCTTACGAAAACGTTTCTGTTGTTCCAGCAAAGATCCTGTTTTCACTTTAACGAGTGGCTAGTAGGCAATGTGCGGATTATCGAGGTAATTTTCAGATTACTTAGGTAATTTGACGAATGAAACAATTTTCTGTACTTCAACGGATCACTCTAGTATGTTTCTCGCACTGTTATAAAACAACAGTACCTAGAGCCATCCAATTTTGATTAACGTAATCCTCCCACGAATATGGGCATCTGGAAGC